TGTACCAGTATAACATGAGTACTCATAATATACATTATGGGTGATATGATGCAAACTGTGGTTTGACAGATTCACGGCAAGTAAGTAGTCATAGTGCAAAAAACAAACAGAAAAAAACCCGTTCGTGTGCGCACACATGAGAGAGAGAGAGAGAGAGAGAGAGAGAGAGAGAGAGAGAGAGAGAGAGAGAGAGATTGGACAGGGGGGAAAGCAGAAAACATAACAGGGAGGATGTGAACTCTTACCCTCTTTAAAGTCAGCTGAACCCCCGCACTGCTGCTCCGAGACCAGCTTCTCCACGCGTTAACTCCGCCCCAAATCCGCGTCACCGATTCACAGCCGGTGACGTGCGGGCGCATCACTCTCCTCCTCCGTCCCGGAGCAAAGCATCGTCAAAATCAACATCCATCACTCCCCCTCTTTGACTCTCTCTCTCTCTCTCTCTCTCTCTCTCTCCCTGATGTCTTTTTAATGTAACTTCTTACTGATCGGGAGAGCAGGGAGCGTCTGGAAAGCCTGGTCGCGTGACTCCATCCCTAATGAAGGATCTGCTCGCACGGCATTCTGTTTAAAGCTGGACACACAGAACAGAAAGGATCAGATTGTATATTTTGGGGATAACGTTTCCTCCCTGTGTGGATGGCTCCGTCTTTATTTCCCCCCCTCTGTGGATGCTATAGCGCACTATGACGGTTTGAATGAAGCTGTCTTTTTGGATTTTGTCCGTGCCAGCAGCTGCTTCTGGGTGACTGCTCAATCTTCACTTGTGAACTCGTTTTAATTTTCTGCCGTTATCCTATGAGCTCTCTTTTATTTATTTTATTTGAAATTGTATTTCGTTTCGTCAAACAATGCCACAGTTTCCCATGACTGTGTATTAGCTATTGATGCCGACAGTAAGTGTGAGTTAATTATCGCGTAAAAACGAAGTTGGGCGCAAAAAAAAGTTTTGGAGAAAGTCGAAATGGCGATGGTAGCGTGGAGAAACACCGAGGCGGTCGGGGACTCTCAGGGGACTCTTTCCTCCCCGGTGTCCCAGGTTGCACCTCTGTCTCTGCCCGGAGAGCTGACGGGACACATGAACCCGGCGCCTTCTCTGGAAATACCCCAAACAGCAGCTGCACCTCAGGGAGCACCGCCGTCCAATCCGTCCGGCAACACCGTCGCGACCACCACCAACAATAACAACAGCACCTCCTCTTCCTCCTCCTCCTCCTCCTTGTCCATGGACAAACAGCAGAGCCAGCAGATCGAGTGCATCGTGTGCGGGGATAAATCCAGCGGGAAGCACTATGGACAGTTCACATGCGAAGGATGTAAGAGCTTCTTTAAACGCAGCGTCAGGAGAAACCTGACCTACACCTGCAGGGCCAACAGGAACTGTCCCATAGACCAGCACCACCGCAACCAGTGCCAGTACTGTCGCCTCAAGAAATGCCTCAAAGTCGGCATGAGGAGAGAAGGTACGCGCTGGCATCAAACTGTTATTACTGGTACTATCACATCCATAACACTTTCACATGCAGCACTCTTTTATGTTTGAACGCATATCTGCCCCATATCTAGTTGTGTGGATGCTACATATGTGTAGCCTAGCTTATGTTTACATATTTCTTTGTGGACCCAGGAGCCTTACCATCGCCACATGTTGCCTTTGTTTGACACTAGGGATATTTTATTCATTTAATAATGTCTATATTTTTTTTTTAAATACGCGGTGTATAATTATTTATTTTGTCTCGGGTACTATAGCTTTATATTGTGTAGACCTCAGTGTGTAATATTACACATTATTGCAGATGTTCCCGCTAGCATCCTGTAGCATGTTAGGTGCACTATTGTTGCTCCCCTTCCGCTTTATGTCCATCATCCCCGGTGAGTGTGAGTCTGCAGAAGCTTTAAATGTCAGGAGTTCACATTCGGCAGTAGATATATTTAACTTTAGTTTCAGTGCCTTTTTTTTCGTTTAAATTGTAGCCATAAAAATGTAAAATACATTTTTAAATGATGTGCTCGTGCGGACCATGTGTGTCTGCTCTTATTCATTATGCATGCTTTTCATATACAGCACTAGGCCCAGACCGCAGCCTACACTAGTCTACTAAGAGTCTGCTTTGTTGTCTAAATGTGAAAGTTTATTAAAGTTTAGGCTATTAGAGATTTCACAGCCAAAAAATAAATAATTAAGTTACAATAAGCCTACTCACTTGATGATATTAGAGAGCATTAACTGAAAACGGAATCTGGGCTGTGAACTGGAGCAATTGTACATTTGAAACAAAAAAAATTGCAACGCTACTGAATACCCAGAAACACGCTGAGAAAAAGAAAAGAGGGGGGGAAAGGAAAAAAGATCTTACACGCCATTATCTGCAGGTTGTGCTCTAGATCTCCCAACACCGAGCTGAATGTGACATTTCTTTCCAGGAGCTGTCCACAACACTTATCCATGTCCACTTCTGAAGAGCCAGCCAACCATAAGCTAGCTCACTACTGACATTAGAAAGGAATCCCAGCCTAATCTGACTAAAATAAGCGCGAGGTTTTATTTCACATATGCTGTTGTAAATGACGTCCCGTGCGTGATGTCTAGTTTTAGGGTTCTTTAAATGTCATCTTCGTTGTTTTAATCGCCTTCTAGCGTGATGTGGCATTTCTGCCGTTTCTTTCTTACAGCTGTCCAGAGAGGCAGAATACCAACCCAGTCATATCACGGCCAGTTTGCTCTGACAAACGGGGATCCTCTGCAGTGTCACTCCTATCTGTCGGGGTACATCTCTCTGCTGCTGCGGGCCGAACCCTACCCGACCTCCAGGTTTGGCTCTCAGTGCCTGCAGAACAACAACATCCTGGGCATTGAGAACATCTGCGAGCTGGCGGCTCGGATGCTCTTCAGCGCTGTGGAGTGGGCCCGCAACATCCCTTTTTTCCCGGACCTGCAGGTGCCGGACCAGGTGGCCCTTCTTCGCCTCACCTGGAGCGAACTGTTCGTCCTGAACGCCGCCCAGTGCTCCATGCCCGTCCACGCCGCCCCGCTACTGGCCGCTGCTGGTCTCCACGCATCCCCAATGTCTGCTGACCGGGTGGTGGCCTTCATGGACCACATCCGGGTCTTCCAGGAGCAGGTGGAGAAGCTGAAGGTGCTGCACGTGGATTCGGCGGAGTACAGCTGCATTAAGGCCATCGTGCTGTTCACCACAGGTAAACTTTACCTTTTCACCCCCACACACGCTGTGGCTGACATTTTAGCGAAATCACGCAAGCTTAAAATCTAAGGAGAATTGTGCCGCCACCATCACGAAGAAAACAACCGCTATCAAAATTAAAATCCTAATTTAATTAAATAAATTATTTTCCAAATGTAGCGAAAACAAAATTAATGCGAGCGGACGAGAACGTTACTTAAAAATCCCGAAAAACGTAGGAATAAATATTTCCAAAAAAACGACAGAAAATCTTATAAAAATAATTTTACAGATTTTTTTTTATTGCTCGTGGCATAATAGTTTGCATAACACTCGGTAACTGTGCGTTCGGGGTTGGGGAGGGGGGCTAAAAAGAAAAATCAATAATTTGTATTAAAACTCTGAAACACCTTAAAAGCAAAATCTATATAAAATAATTCTTTTGCAGATTTTAGTATGATCATAAGTCTGATGATCCTCTGATATCGTTATAAACGGTCATTAAAAAAGGAATACAAATCATATATGTTGGATTTGCTCTAGAAAAGTACTCCCTTTAAACCTGAGCCAGCTGCTTTACCTCTGATAGAATTCATAGTGAACTTAAGTGACCTCATACAGTTGTCAGATCTTGAAGCAACAGTTTATCTGCATTAAAATAATACTGAAGAGGAAGTGTGAGTGAGTGAGTTTGATGGTCTTAAAACGGCATCAAATCCTTACAGCCCTTAAAATATGAAATACTCTGCCTGAATAGGTTATGCAAATGGGTTTGAGTTAAACATTTGACAGCATCTATATTCCACTGCTGCTTCACATAAAAGGTGCCTCAGCAGAGTGATTTATTACATACATACATATATATATATATATTAATTTCAAGTGAAAAAAACTTGTTTTCAGGCTTAAAATTTAGAGGGTTTTTTTTTTATTTTAAAAAGAAAATTTTTATATTTAAATCTTGCCACTGTTTTAAAAACGATCATAGCATGTAAATGTAACTGCATAATACATTTTATTCTTTACATCTTTAAATTTGAAAATATCTTCATAAAGAAGCTTTTTTTGTACTGTTCTTAAAGCAGTGGGAACTATTAGTTGACTTTGCAATGCAAAATGTATGCCAGTTTCTTCACAGCCTTTTAGATGACAGAGGGATGTTTGGTTGTTAGATTGTGAGTGGGTTCAAAAGGACAAGTAGCAGCAGAGTAAAAAAATAAACAAAGAAGGTTTCCTATTGGTCTATTTTAGTCCCCGTGAGCATATGTGAGCATATGTGAGCACATGTGAGCACGTGCCTTTTAAACTGGGACAGTCCTGCTTTAACCCCTGTTTCCAGCCGGCCTGCAGTTTTACAGTACAGACAGAAGAGTCTGGTGTGCGTTGAAATGCAAATGACTCAGAGCAATCAATGCTCTTGCCATGCTTCCTTCCTTTTGTCTGGGCCCTGAGTATTCTTTTTTTTTGATTGGATGAGAGCAGTGGCACCATTGTTGATCCCAGATGGCATCAGATTGACAAACCTCAACTATTTGCCTATATGTTTTATTTTCAACCTGCCACTGCGCTCTTACAGTATCCAGTTTTACATTTTTAAACCTCTACATTTACCCAACCATGTCTGACTAACTAGTTTATTGGGTGTTCTGTGTTTATGGTTGATGGTTCTGATACCATCTTAGTGAGGTTCACTCAAATCTGTTTACAAAGTAATAAAATATTTAAATGCATCCACTAATATTTGGCATTCTGCTGCCCTGACCTCTTCTTTAATGTCTTACCCAGGGATTTAAATAATATCTGTAAATAGTAATACCTACAGATTTTTGTTTTTTCTGGTGCTTTTTTGACTTTCGATCACTGTAACTTTTCATCTAACTCCACATTCAGACTGTACCATCGCGAGTTTTGGTGATTTTGTATTAACACTGAATAAACGTGAAACTGAAGTATTTTTCAGATGCCCAGTTGAACCACTGGTCCTGACCTCTTCTCTTCTGCCTATTTGTTTCTGTGTTACATTCTCTCTGTAGATGCTTGTGGTCTATCAGATGTGGCCCATGTGGAGGGTCTCCAGGAGAAATCGCAGTGTGCTTTAGAAGAGTATGTGAGGAGCCAGTATCCCAACCAGCCTAACAGGTTTGGGAAGCTGCTGCTTCGCTTGCCTTCCCTCCGCAGCGTCTCTTCTTCTGTCATAGAGCAGCTTTTCTTCGTCCGTCTGGTGGGGAAAACACCCATAGAAACTCTGATAAGGGACATGCTGCTTTCTGGTAGCAGCTTCAACTGGCCTTACATGGCTATTCAATAGAGAATAAAAGCTGCTGTGGTGCTACTAAGGTCAGGAAGGGTCCCACTTTTCAAATCAAGTCATTTCAAATAGTAAAATCTCTGTTGATTTAAACAAGAGAAAAAACTGCCAGTGGAATTAAATTCTCTAAAGTATCTTAAGGGTAAAAATGTAATTTAATTTGCTTTTTTCATCATACCGGAGGTATTAGCTGCCTTATTTTCCATTATGCCACTTTTAGAGGGGTCCATAAAATACAGGAAATCTACCAATGACTAAATGATCTGACCGCACTGGCAGAAATTTTCACTTGTTTAAAGGGAACTAATGTCAGTAAACGAAATGACTGGTTAAGATGGACATCTTTTTGCAGTGTGGTGACCTCTCACAGTCTATGGTTTTTGGGATAACAAACAATATTTATTGGACCTGTGTGTATATTTATCGTGCTTGTAAATTATGTTTTGGATCCTTTTTGTTTTCTTTTTTTTCCCTTTTTCTTTTTTTTTTATGTTTTACATATTTTTACCCCAGCTAGTGAGAAAACTGCAGGGATCGTCTTGTGTTGATCTGTTTTTTGTTGTTGTTGTTGTTGTTGTTTTCATACCTTCCAGACATAGCACTTTGGACTAAAGGAACATTTCAGAAAGATTTAATATGATTGTTTGAAACCCGACTTCTTCTGACTTCAACCTTTTTGCTCGGTTGCATAGAGACAGAAAGGTGAGATTGATGCTTTGTTTTAGTTACTTTGTTTTCTTATTCTGGTTTTCTTATTGACATGCAAAGAATGAGAACAGCAAAAACATTTCAGAACTGCACTTCTCATGCTCAGTGTTCGGTTGTGCCAAGCGTTAGTCATTTCTTCGTTATACTTCTTGGCTAATACGATTATTTCCCTTTTGCCATAATGTTCCAGTTAAACTCTTTAAAATCCTATTTCAAAGCAATTTATCTCTCCCGGATTTTTGTCACACTTCAACTTTTCTGTTTTTTTCTCATCTGAACTGAGAGGCTAATCATGGCGGTGAGCTGACTGTTGGATAGCTTAATCCAATGTTTTTTATATTTAGAGGGGTTAAAGTCCAAATCATGTTCCCCTGTGACAGGTAAGAAGAACACGAATGACACTACGAGATTAAGGACAAATGCATTACCAAATACTTCTAATGAATTTATGTTTCCTGGACTTTTACACTGACTTCCTCAGAGATTTTTAAGAGCACTGGGTCTATAATAACTACAATCTCTTAATTTCCCAGGCCAAGAAACAAATTTATTTCAGTATAACTCATGCTTTAATGAGCCCAGGCCACTTAATGGCACAACAGACCACTGCAGGGTATTGCTGAATTTAGAGTGTATGTGCATGTGTGTGTGTGTGTGTGGGTGTGTGTGTGTGTGAGTGTATTTGTGTTTACTTCTTTTTGACAACCACTCTGATGTACTGTGAAAGCATATTGGTTAACATATTGGTACCGTATTAAATTATAACTCAAGATTTATAAATAAAGTGTATTTGCTTTATTTCGTCATTTCAGCTCAACGGTGTTCATGTTTGTCACCTTCCAACAGGAATCAAGTGTGTTTACACAAGGGAGCGCATCCGTTATAATTTTGATTTTTTTGTACTGCAATGGAGTAAGGAAACGTAAGCCAAGTGGAGTCTGTCTGGTGTTCTGGAGCCCATTTCTTACTATAATATTGTCACTAATTGGGCGTTTTAATCAAACTAATTGCTTCCACTGACAGTGATAGCTTTATGTGAATGTCAGGTTGTATTTACATTTGCCTTATTTAACAACCTGCAGGAAAACAGTTAACTTTTCTCCTGCACTTATCTTATATTGGGCTTGATCACTCAGTTTTAACATCTTTACAACTTAAGAAAACACCTAAAGGGAGGGAACAAAGAGTGTCACGTTACATCCTTTTCTTGTAGCTTGCAGCTTGTAGCCTGTAGCTGTGCTTTTTGGGTTTTTTTTATAACTTATTAATAGTTTTAAATTAACTATTAAGACAAAACCTAGTATGATCTTGTAGTATGGCTGTATCAGTACATCCACACATGCAAAAGAAAACTGTATGATATAAAAACATTTTCTTTTTAGAATATTACAATAAAAGTCTGTCTTCAAATAAGGTAAAGCTGCTTTTCCAACTTGTCAGTAGCACCCGCTGACAGCTCTTTTTGCTATTAAATCTTCTATTAGTTAAAAAAAAAAAAAAAGCTGGTTAAACTCTTCATAAGAGAATGAAAATGGAGTTAAAACCGTGACTGTGGTGCCAGATTGAGGAGGACAGAGAGGATTAAATCAGCTTTTTTGCTTCTAATGAACACAGAGCTAATGAGGGGGCCCTGCGTGCTCTGTCACTACAGTTTACCCTGAGGAGGCCGAAGCTGGGTGCCCGTCGGCCCCTGGGTGTTCTGGGCCCAAGGGCCAACATAAAACAATGGAGCATTTTCCCACACACGTACAGCTCCAAAGAGACGATAATGAGAAAAGAGTGTCCAGGCTTTATGTGGTGGTGGAAAAATGAGTTCAGCCTGAGATCAATATGCGACACTACTCAAATGGACTTTCCTTCGCGGCCACGTTTTTGCCTTTTTTCTTGACCGGAGTAATAAATAAGGGGGGAAACATCTCTCTGCTGTTTTCTCTGAGCACAGGAGCTGGATCAGTTATCACGCAGCGTGGTTTGTACCTAGCCAATCAGCTTTCGAGGATGAAAGCGTGCAGCCAGTCATATCGCTTGAGATCTTTTTTTTTTTAAATATTAATATTCATCGTCAAGTGAGAAGTAGTGAACCATGATGCTCAAGCCCTCAGGAAGCATTACTGTCGGAGTGTTTATAGCTTTTTAAGAAATGCAGCGCAGATGCTTATAAATAGTTTACTGAACAAATGAAATAACACTGACCTACCTGTTGTCCGGGTTCCTGCGCGGTGCTGTGATTAATGTAGTTCACGAAGCTTTTGCGCAGTTCTTCTCGAATAGAAACCTCCTGAAATGCTTGATTTAAAAAAAAAAAA